CAGACTCCCTTCATCCACCGACACAGGGGCGCAACCCACGGCAAACGGGTTGGTGGACCAAATATACCCCCGGGTCCACAACGGGGGGTTGAAGAGCGCTTAGCGTTACCCAGCACCCACCACGAGGAGGTGGCGCTTCACGGGTGTCAATTGTTGTAATAAAACATGGTTTGCTAGATCTAGAATAATTTGCTTCTGTATGTCAATTATTAATAAATAAGAATAATATGAACTAGCACTGGCGTCACATTATACTGACACCAACCATGATCTGTATATAAAATTGAAATACCTTTGTATTGACTTGCATAGTGGATGGTCCCCTCTTGCATCAGTTTGTTACTGAATGTTCAGACATTTCCATGGTAGTGCCTCTACCACATACCACCTCATCTCACTTTATCTTGCTCGTGCCATACATACACCATCAACACAAATGTCTGCCACATCCTGTTGTGGAAAGACATTGGCGAATGAGTGAGTGGTTTTACGCCTCTTTTCGAAATATTCCAGCAATATCACGGCGGCGGACACCAGAAATGGGCTTTAAACATTGTACCCATGTGTGGAATCGAACCCCTGAATTCGGGGTGACATGTGGATGCTTTAGCCATTAGGCTACAACACCGCCCCAAAAGACGTTGGTGGCATGTACCTGTGCGTTTGCCAATTGCATTAGAAAATTACACAGACAAATTTCACATTTAAAGTTTTGGACAAAGCAAGCCCATGTTAAATCAAAGATGTTTACACGTCATGTCCGTTGAGCGCAGATCACATCTCTCCTCAATCATGATTCCTTAAAAAGAGTAAGTAAGACAACTAGAAATGTAAAAGTGTATGTTGCTTTACCATGCATGTGAAAACCGATAATTGAAAAGTACCATTCTTGAGAAGACACCATTATTACCACGAGGAAAAACATGTCGGATGTAACAAGCAAGTCTACGTGTGTTACACAGGTTACATTATTACTGATTGATCGCTTTTTTTAAGCCTCGTGTGTCATAAAGAAGTTATTGCAGACTTTATCACGGTCACCAGCAATCAGAGGTTTTTTTGTAATACTAACAACTTGTAAACAGTTCACAAAAGAAAGATGTTTAATGAGAGCAAGTGAAATGCCTTAACCATGCACATTTAATTGACTGGAAAATTTAAAATCCATTGATACTGCCTGAGACGTATTCAGGTCATCATTTTAAAAAAGTGTATAAATTAGTGTTTGCCCACAACACCACACAATAAACTGTTGGCAGGGATTCAGAAAGTAATGGGAATTAAGGAAAGGTTTTCGGGGGAAAATCAGAAAAAAATGCATTCCTGGAGGAAAAGTAAAAACGCAACCAGCATCAAGAAAACTAAATGAAAAATCAGCAACTTTCATTCATTTATGTAAGTTAGGTGGCATTTCTGACACAGCCAGTTACAGACCTGCTACCATATCACATGGCAACTGTTTTCAACAAACCGAATAGACTTGTATCTCAATGCAAGTATGAAAAGAGTACCTTTAGTCTGTGGAAACTACGTGAAGAACAATCAACATTTAATTTCAAAATATTTTTGTTTGTGTTACCAAATTTCAAAACAACCTTCCATGTCTGTGTTGTGGAGACGTAGTGTTTTTTTATCGTCAATATACACAGATTATATAAAAACGAGAGCTTTTTAGTAATGCAAAATAGATGAAATTGATTTCCGATGCATTCTGTGGAATGAGAGACACTTTGCTGGCATTTGTATATACTACGTGTTTGTTGTTTCACACCGCACTCAGCAATATTCCAGCTATATGGCGGCGGCCTGTGAATAATCGAGCCTGGACTAGACAACCCGGTGATCAACAGCATGTGCGTCGACCTACACAACTGAGATACGAGGACAAGTGTCAACCAAGTCAGCGAGCCTGGCAACCCAGTCCCGCTTGTCGGACCTTTACTACATGGTCCCTAGTATGGTGATCTATCTTCATTTCTTGGCGATCTATAGCCCGTGTTTTATATTGTATTGTGTCCTTTGATTAAAATATCTTCGTTATACATGCCAGTTTTAAATTAAGAGCTAAGTAACTCTAGTATTTTTACTGTCCTTCGATGACAGTTTTTTATGTTCTAGATCCATGCAGGTAGCAAAGGCACTGTAAGTCCCCATGGACCCTAGTATGGTGATCTACCTTCAGTTGTTGGCGATCTATAGCCTGTTTTTATATTGTAGCGTCCTCTATAGTTAAAGTATTTTTTATTTAATTACTAGTTTTAAGTATATATCTGTGATAGTCTAGTTGGTTTTACTGTCCTTCGTCGGCAGGTTTTTATAATTTAAATGTATTTATGATGAATTCACAACTTGTTTATAGTCACGATATGGCTGAAATATTGCCGATGTTACTTTAAATCTTAACTCACTCACACTCATTTATTTTCTAGATTTTTTTTTTAATACTGATATAAATAATATTGTTCTCATCACGATATGGCTGAAATATTGCCGACGTGACGCTAAATATTAACTCACTCACTCACTTTACTACATGGCGTATACATTTCAGTAAGTGAAGCGCCTTCAGTTTAATGTGTATAATACATGTGATACCTGCATCATTAATATATTTCAGCAGATACCATATATATTACAAGTTGTGATTATGGAAGTGTTAGATATGTTTTCTAAACCACTCGTTGTAATATAACTGGTCCCCGATAGCAGTGGGGGAAACATTTGTTTTCTTTGCTCAATAATTATGTCTCATGTAACCTTGAACATGAATAATTGCGGTAATAAAGACCAGAAAGAACGGCAGTAGAGACGATCTCTGACTCTAACAAGGTAATCAGGTTAGTGATATATCTTCTCATATGTTCTCGCCCCTGGCATCTAATGAAACTATGTTATTATACAACCATATTGACGCTGATGTGTGAGGAGGTGAGATAGTATAGAATTTCCTCTGATGGTCAGGTCTAATAAGATCGGATGAAGCATCAGTGTTTCAAGATTGCCATTTTTATTTTTATATCAGCTACACCACATGGTCATGTGCATGGTGAAATGTCATTCTATATTGAACAACAAGATCCTCGACACTGGAACTCAGCAGGTTGCTTTAAGCTTTTTCCATGTGCGTATACATTGAACGTGATTGTTAGTTCGTTCCTTAAGTGGCATTTAGAAGCTGGTATGATGAAGTGGAACACTTTTTTTTCACTTTATCTTCACTTCTCATCTAATCGCCTACTACAAGTCAAGAGAGGTATAATAGCCACCCTAGCCAGAAGGGCAAAGAACATCAGCTCCACAACCAAGGCCCTTGAAGTCGAGTTAGAACACCTTCGCCATGTCTACATAAACCTTAACGAGTATCCAGCTAACCTAGTCAACAGGGTGAGTGAGTGAGTTATTATTTAACGTCACATCGGCAATATTTCAGCCATATCGTGACGCCTAGTCAACAGAACCATCAACACTACAGTTAACCCAAAAGACAAACCACCACGTCAACAATCAGTTCCGTTCATCATCAGTCTACCATACGTCGATACAATCAGCCACCATATCCGGAGACTACTTAAGAAGCAAGCCAACATAGATGTTGTGTTCCAAAGAGGCACATCAATTCAGCATATCCTACAAGCCAACGGTAAACCACCTACAAGCAACAAAGAAGACCCTTCAGGCGTTGTCTACCACATTCAATGCGTACATAGGAGAAACGTGCGGCCCCTCAACCTGCGAATCAATGAACATCAGACATCTGTAAATAAAAAAGACTTCAAATCAACCATTTCCGACCACACCCAAGCCCACCCGAACCATACCATACTTTGGAACAATATCAGCATCCTAGAAGCCAATCGGTAAGATTACAAGATAAGTAAACTCTTAGAGGCAATCAATATCAAACGACTCAACCCGGCAATCAACAGAGATCAAGGTTATTACATCCCCACGGCTTACGATCAACTAATCAAGCCCAATCAAGAATAACCCACCCTTTAACTACTGGCTTCTATCATTTCTTATCACAACAAGTCTCATGTCACACACCGTACATCAACCTCTTCTATTGTATAAACACAATACCCGCCATGTATATATTTCTCCTTGTGCAAATGTTGAGTATCATTTGCTTGATAACGGTGTTAGGATCTGCACCGAAACGTCGCCACTACTGCAACAAAGAAGTTGTCTATCCATTAAAAGTGTTCCACTTCATGATTGCTAGTTGCTTGCATGTAACTTAGAGTTCTTCGCAAGGACATGTCAGGTTCGATCGTTCGAGAAATTTCTTGGTGGGACAGTTTCCGGAAGATTGGCTTCTGAATTCATGCCTGCTTCGAACACCATTTTGTACTCTATATAAAACTGAGACAGGGACAGTATTCTGAACATGATGGTATACTGCGTGTTGCTGCAATAACATATTTGAGCCATTGCTTTGACTATTTAATTGTGAGCTTGAAAGTTTGAGTTTCATTATCATTCATAGATTATTCATATATCTTCCTTTTTAACAATATATTTTAAGTTAATCTGTGTGTTACATGTGGCCAATTAATCTCCCCACATCTAAAACATTGTACACGGACATCATCTATCAACGACTGTAACATCATTTTACATAGGTACGCTAGTTGTTTGAGATCCACAATATTGATACACTAGTCGATTATTTCTGCAACACTGAAGGATTTTATGCAATTAATCTTAAAGGTCACATGCAACGTAAAACACAACTTTGCAGATTCTGATACCTTTCGGTATGGACTTACCGAAACAAATCATCAAAAATGCAAATTCAACTTATATGGTTGAAAAATAACGCGATGAAAAAACCCGCGCGAAATCGGAGTTCAAACGATTCACTAAGGGCCTATTCGATTATGCAAAACCGGTTTTGGTTTCGGGAAAACCATGCACTCGATTATGTCGAAACCTAAAACTGGTTTCTGAAACTCAGCAACCATCTCCGAGGCAGGTTTCGCAGTTTCGGTTTCGCGTTCTCGCACAACAAACATGGCGGAAACGACAGGAAAGGACGGGTAAGTAAACGATTCATTGTTGTTTTAGTTTAATCGACTGCATGATTTTGAAACGTGGAGACAATATATGGCGGCATTGAAGCCACAACTCAAGTTTTCAGTAACAGTTGTAGCCATGGTTTTGAGTTTACATGTATTGATGATACAATTTATGTGAAACGGCGTATCTAGCTGAAGGCCAATTTTTTGTCCTATACTGGCTAGCCACCACTTATCGCCAGCACCTGGCTGTAGCGCTTGAACAAATAGGTTGTCACGTACTTCCGTAGTATTTCACACATTGACATATAAAAAAAGCGATAGGCTACGAGAATTAAAATCAAGCTGTCTGCCGAAGCGCTACAGACAGGTGTTGGCGATAACCTGGTCGCTAGCCAGTACAGTCGCGTTGTAAAATATTGTTTTGATAAGAATGATTTCACAAACTTTCAGTTGTGTACTGTTAATCATAACTATTCAGTAGTCCACACAACATTAACATTTCAGTTCTGAGAGTTATTGGAAGGATGTAACCTTGCAATTTCCCGATGGTTATGAGGTGACAGTATGTTTGGAAAGGCCAGTTATTCAAAAGCTGGATGCTGGAGGTAAGTTAAAAGACCCATAATAGTGAAAACCCAGAAAAGAAAAAATAACTTTGAGTACAAAGGTATATCCATTCTTCCACCCAGTCCATAGTTTTACAAACTGATTGAAATTTACACCTATAAATATGTTTTGTATGAAGACACATACATGTATAGCTCTATCTCATTATGTAAGGATGGATTTCATCGTCAGTTTTAAATATGCCATTGACAAAATATAACATAAAAAAATCAATATCTATCTTCATGTTAGACGTTAATCTGATGAATGAAATCCGAAAACAACTGCTCCACTGTCCATCCCAGTCAGTCCAAGATCCATCTCCAGTCCAGGGATCACCTCCATCAGTCCAGGCTACACCATCTCCAGTCCAGGGACCTCCTTCATCAGTGAAGGGTCCATCAGTCGAAGGTCCATCATCATCAGTCCAAAGCACACCTTCTTCAGTACATGACTCACCATCATCAATCCAGGTAGCAACTCCATTATTCCAAGAGGCTAATGATACTGAATCTTCGACTTCAAATCAGGTAACTAATTGTGCTTAAATTTAAGTGCAAATCATTGCTTAAATATATACCGTAATAACAATACATTACCGTGTGTTTAGCTATTACCTTTTTGTACTATCACTCACATTCTTTCATGTTATTGCAAGTAAAAAACAACAATGTCTATGCACGATGAATTCCCTTTGAGGTTAATTCTGTCATAATAATTCTACACAAATGTACATGCTTCTGCTATTTAAATTTGTCTCTGATTGTCTCCCTTTATACCTTTATTCAACCCGAATAAGTCATTTCTCATCACACACACTGATTTTTGCCTCTGCTCTATACATTTCAGTACTCGCAAGATGTTGACCTCGGAACAAACAAATGGTCTATTTCTGCTGTCCACAGATTGATTGATTTGTACCAGGAATCGGAAGCCAAATTCACTTCCGTGAAGTATAAGAAGAAAGAGATTTGGGCCGACATTACCAAAAAGCTTCAGGGTGAAGGATTCATTGACAAAAGCATCACAAGTGTACAGGTTCAACAAAAATGGAAGAATGTAAGCAAGAAATATCGAGACACAGTGGACCACAACAACACCTCTGGGAACAATCGAAAAAGCTGTCCATTCTATGAACGACTGCATGAGGTGCTTGGTCACAAGCCGAAAGTACAACCTAAAGTTCTAGCCTGCTCTTCAAGTGGTGTTATCAAACCTTCCATAGAGAAAAAAAAGAGAAAGTTTGAAGGAAAAATTTATTCAAGTTCAGATGAAAATGATGCAAGTCTTCCATCGATCATACACAGAAGGCCCAGAAAGAAAGTAAAGTCTAATGTTAAGGGTGAAATTTCAACATTTCGGCAGGAACAAAATAAAAATCAGCAACAACTCTTGGAAACTATTAAAAAAATGCATGAGGACCGAATGAGAATGTTCGAATCATTCTTGGATGTTTTGAAAAAAGAATCATAAACTGACTTCTTTACTATTGCCAATCTGTTTAAGATTTTCATTAGATTATATTAGTAAGTGCACAGAAATGGCACTGTGATGAAGACGTTTGTTTTGCAGCAAGAAAACAATTTCTGTTTGTATATTTCATATTTCCGTCTATTTTTTTACAGTAAAGTGCCAAGAATGTCAAGGTGAACATGGAGCTTACACATGTGTTATCCAAAGAAATTGCTAGTGTAATATATTTAATTTTTTTTACGGTTTAAATTTTTTATTTCTCACCATGTTTTTTCTGATGTCATGTCATCCTTTTGTTCATCAGTACCTGTTGGTGCTAGCATGTTTACTGCAGTATTTCTTTATATTGTGCAATAATAGTGAGATACCCTTTGAGCCCATCTCTCTCATACATGAAGACACACAACTATGGACACAGTTCAACCTTTATTGTCACTGAAAACAGACAAGCCATCAATTTTTCTGATTATCACATTGAAAAATATGACACAAGTTGAAAGTTATTTGTTTCTGAACAAATCTTGCAGAATTCTATCTCGTTTGTTTACTCCAGTTCTTTCATCGGGGTAAAGTCTGGTATAACACATTGCATCACAGTCAACGGGATCATGGTCTTGATTATCTTCAAAATGATCTCCCTTCAGTAAGCAGAAGTTGTGTAACATGCATGCAACAACAATGACTTTGATTCCATGTTCCAGACTTTTGACATCCAATAATTTCAGCCTTCGAAATCGAGATTTTAGAACGCCAAATGTTTTTTTCAGTGGCCATGCGGGTTGTGCTATGGACATAGTTAAAGTCAGACTGTTCTAGGCTTAAGACTCCTGTGTTTCTGAATGGCGTTATGACATGTTCTGACAGAGGATATGCAGCATCACCCAACAGATATGAACCTTCTGGGAACACCAGATTCGGGTTACCTTTTATTTTCTGTTGCAAATCTGAGTTCTTGAAAATCCGTGCATCGTGAGCTGAACCAGGCCAGCCTACAAATACATCCGTAATTCGTAAGTCAGATGTACACACAGCTTGTAAGATCACTGAATGGAATCCTTTTCTGTTAATGTAGTCCGCTGGATCATCTTTAGGACATGATATAGCTATATGACTTCCATCAATACATCCAATAACGCCTTTTAGTCCTTTCTTAGCTTCAAACTCCTGCATTACTTTACGTGCATCTTCGCCTGAAGGCCAGACAATAAATTTGGTTCTGTAATGTTCAAAGAGTTTTTCGGTTACATCATGAACAATTTTTGAAACTGTGGAATCTGAAACACCAAACAAATTGGCAATAATGCATAATGCTGTGAGAGGTACCAAGGTATGTCAGAAATATCAGGACTAAGGATAAAAATCAACTGAGAACTTGGAATTTAAAACCCCAGTCTATTGAAGTTGAACATGACTATTTTATGGAACTTGTATACATATCATTACTTGTAACAGTACCATTACATATACGCAAATATTTACCTCCAATAGCATCTCATCTCTTTATTATTTGCTAATTCATTCATAAAATGACAAAAAATATTACCTTCGGCAATGCTGTTATCAAATTCATCCCAGATATAAAGCAGCTGCGAGATTTTTTTTGTATCCATTTTGAAACCGGATGGTGCAACCAGGCACTCGTTTATAAAACTAGAAACTAGTTTCACTTTGAAACCGTGTATCCGAAACTAGACACTCGTTTATAAGAAGAGAAACCAGTTTCAGAAACCAAAACTAGTTTCGCAATAATCGAACAGGCCCTAATTTCCCCCCGACTTTTCGGGGGAAAACTGGTTTCAACAGCTGGGATGCGCTCATAGCACGTGCGCAGTAAAATAGGTTCGCGCAACTTGGAAGCAGGCTGTCCGGTGAATACTCGGTGAAGGCTTTGGTGTGAGCTATTTTCCTAATGTTTTGTTGATATCTCACAGACGCGAGCTTTTTATATGTTATGACAGTAAATAAACTGTTTATATAATTTCATTTGTCTATTTCACCACACGTTCTTCTTACCGAGTCACTTTCTCAGTTCGATACTTAAAAGCAATGTCATTTTTTATCGTTGACAGAATTTCTAACTGTGATATAGATATGTCGTTGTCACAGACAAAACTCAATGTCTTGTTTTATTGACACCTGTCTGCTAATGACAATATTCAATACACAACTGCGATCACTGACCACATGCAATTTGAACCTTACACCAATCAGGCTATACACCATAAACAAAACGCATTGATTTATGGCCCGAGTTCGGTCTCTGTCACATTATGTAATTACACAGAAAGGCAGGTGTTATGACATGTTATGATGTCTGTTGAATGCAAAATGTTATACACAAAAAACGAGCATGTATTTACAAAACCCAACATCTCTATATATACACACAATGAGCCGTGAGGGAATCTGCAAATGAACCGGCCGTTACACTTGAGTGCACACCCACCCGCTCTGACTGGGTTCGGTATGCCGGCTGCTTCGTTTCTTGGGACGTAAACCTAAGTACACAATATTGCACTTTTGATTTGCGATTGTACGCTTATAATTTTGTTTATATGTTTTTTCATAACCAGCAATGTATATTATATGTCATGAATAAGTGATAATTGTGTTTTAATTATGTTTGATTTTTTGGTTGCATGTGACCTTTAACATTTATCTTTGCCCTTTCTGCAATATACACCGGGTAGCCTAGTGGTTAAAGCGTTGGCTCGTCACGCCGAAGACCCTGTTTCGATTCCCGACATGGGTACAGTGTATGAAGTGCATTTATGGTGTCCCCCGCCGTGATATTGCAAGAATATTGCTAAAAGCGGCGTAAAACTATACTCACTCACTGCAACAAAAGTGTACATTTTACGTTTGTGCAATATATGCAACAGGAATTACTATGACAAAAATGCATACATGGAACATATATTAATTCAAAATACAACATTGTTCACCTTTGATATAGCATGCTTGTGTACCTTACTACCATCTCTAATACATTGATATTTTTCGCAGTCCTCTACTTTAAAGAAAATATACTTAGCGATCATAGAAGGCTTCTCGTTGTTCTTTTTCAACTTTCGTCCGTAAGTCAATTGGTGAAGTTGTACGACGCACGGAACTGAAAAAGTATACACAATTACTAGATTCTGTTATGCATCATGCTTAGGTTTTTTTCTACGATGCGATATCAGGGAAAAGTCTAACCCCTTGAGTGCATTTCTCGCTTGGATCCTTTAGAACTTCTCCTGTTGATTGTTTCTATGTCGAGGCCGATATCTCTGCAGTTTATCACTAAACTATATTTAACCATTCCCATCCTGCATACAACAGTGTCTTTAATCCCCTCTATGAGAATCTGTACAACAAAAAGTCATCTCTAGTTCCGCCCCTAGGAGTAAGAGTAAACCATTTCCTTTCTTTTGCTGGCATTAAGATGAAAAATATATCTCCTTACCGCCTACCCTAAACGATATTTTATCTTTCCAGACTCACTTTCGTGCCTTCAGTCTATTAAAATCTTGTAAACATCCACGTTTAACTGAACGTATTGAATTATATAATGATCTTGCTACTAGCAAATACGATATCGTCCTCTGTTGGTTACCAAGCCGTGTTGGATGTTCTGGTAACACAATGGCCGGTTTTGCTTCACTGAACAAATCTGTGACACCACCTCTGATCCCATACTCTGATTCCTCCATTTGACATCCCTTGTGATTCACGGTCAAGCATATCCTGCTTGACTGTATTGATTTTCAGTGCAAAAACAGTTAAGAATCTTTTTTAGTTATGTTAATGATCATATAATCATTCATTTTAAAAAATAAATTGAAGTAATTAAAAAGCTTTGGTTAAAATGCATCGCCTTTTATTGTCCTCCTGAGAGGATACGTAAGTCCCGAAAGATTCAAAATAAGTGTGAGGGAGTTCACACAGTGGGTGTGAAATGTTAATAATACAATGATTCCCATCGTTTTCTAAAAACCAGTAAAACTGTGTTTAATAAAACAGTGGGGCTTTACATGACTGGACGTTAGCTGTAGGTCGCTTACAAAGTATAAATATATTACTGCTGTCTTGAACTTTGGTGTTTAGCGCGGCACTCTGCAATAATCGAAATATATGACAGCAGTGTGTCAATAGTTACAAACATTATGGGACGACTGAACACTTTAACCACGAGGCTGCCCCACTGCTACAGCTGTTTGTGAACAGGTTCTCCCCTGTGTGGCTTTTACTTGAGCAGTTATTAGGCTAGTTGTCAACACACTGTATGATCTCCATTACGTTCCAGAGTTGAATGACCCAGTAGTAAAAGCATTCACTCGTCTTGCTGAAATGTCGGTGGTTTCATTACAAATGTGTGTACAATGTAGCAAGTCCAATTTGGAGTGCCACCTGTGATGCTTGAATGTTTCCATATTTGTTGTGAACACGATGCCTCGATAATGACAGGGTGCCACACCAAGTCGAGTTCCAAGAGAAAACCATATGTGATGTTGTTCAAGTTTTTATGATGCTGTAATCATTACGACAGTGAGCCAGATAACAGAGCATGAGTACCCTGTACTCATCACCTTACTCTTACGAAAAGTGCATCGTGCCCTTGTGCTTTTGAACGTCCACGCGATCATATACATAGTCATTGGAATGTTCTGATTGGAAAATCTGAATAACAGAGGAATATTTCTTTGTGATTACCTTTGTGTAATATATGACAACAAAAACCAACATATATATGTTTTCTACACCTATTCTTTGTTCATGTAAATGTGATATATAGGCACAGTGGAGACAACTAACAAAGCTGCTAATGAGTACATTACTAAAACTAGGGCATTGCCTCCAATGGCCCTTACTTGTCGTTTATAGTACGTGAAATTGCCAAAGAGGAGACTGCTAATCCATCTGGGCTCTTTTACGTACTCTGACATTCATCTGCCCGCTGCTTTTATAAGACCCAGAATGTCAGATGATGGCAACCAACTTAGAATGCCCCTATTTCCCCAGAAGATTGAAATATATATGCGTAGAGACGAACCATCATTATGTGTTTGTGGTTTCCACACTTTTCTGTTCTACAACAGTCTGCAGAGATTGGCTCAGGAAAGCAAGTGTTTGGGTGCAGTCATAGACATATACCATTCAATTCAAATTCAGGTCACTTAGTCAGAATCGCGTAAACAGAATAGCACAAACGCTTTGTAATTATTTCAAGTAACACATACACATTTCATGCTTTGGGTGGTTGATGAAAACAGGCCTGTATAGCACCTAGTAGAAGCAAAGATAGGTCGACTGGCTGAGCATCTGCCCAAAAGGGTCCACTTCTAATCAGCCTCCTATTCGGAAACTGATTCGATAGCGCATGATACAACATA